AACAGGTTTACTCTTTGAGCACCCTACTATTGCCTAGAAATTCCCACACCTCTTTTGAAAAAACAAACAAACCAAAAAAAGAGTGTTGGATTTTTTCACTGAATTCATCATCTGGGCAGACATATAAAAATTGGCAGATATAGAAGAAGTACTTTTTTTCTTCAACCAAATTGGCTTTGAGATTCCTTCATGATGCCCATTTTTCTGTGTTATCCAAGAATTATGCAATGGAGCTGTTGAAGGGTCTGGAGCACAAGTCTTATGAGGAGCGGCTGAGGGAGCTGGGGTTGTTTAGCCTGGAGAAAAGGAGGCTCAGGGGATACTTACTCCTCTCTACAACTACCTGAAAGGAGGCTGTACTTCTCTCAAGTAGCAAGTGATAGGACAAGAATAAACCAGTCTCAAGTTGCACCAGGAAAGGTTTAAGTTGGGTATTAGGAAAACCTTCTACACTCAAAGAGTTGTCAAGCATTGGAACAGGCTGCCCAGGGAAGCAGTAGAGCCACCATCCCTGAAGTTATTTAAAAAACATGTAGATGTGGCTTAGGGACATGGTTTAGTGGGACTTGGCAGTGTAAGGTTTACAGTTAGACTTGATCTTAAAGATCTTTTCCAGTTTAAATGATTCTAATTGGGTGCAGATCCAAAGCTGTCAACAGCTTTTCATGCCAAGCCAAAGTAAGAATGCTGAGAGATGAGCATTGGGTTTAATGAGCTCTTAAAAAAAGGAGTGTGTTAAATGTTGGCTGCATTTCTTCCTTTCTAGACATGCTGGGTGCCCGCCTAGAGTTGGAGGGAGATGGAACCTTGTCCAATGATGCCTGCCTCTGCTATATCTCGTCAGGCAATGTGGAGAGGTTGGTGGAATGCTGGGTAAAAAACCACGAGACTTCGTCACCACTTGCCCTCCAGGTACAGGTGCTATAATGTTGGTTTGACTCCTCTTTAGGCCATTCTGGTAGCCCTGAACGGTTTGCATTATCCCATCAAACAGGGTATCTGGCTTCCAGCAGGCAGTGAAGACCTGTTTGTGCTCCCAAAAGTATCCCCTTCTAGCCTGGATTACAGGCTTACGTCAAAAGGAGGCTTGCACTCCTTTTCAGGGTTTGCGTGTTTAGAGAGTACTGACCACATTGCACATAAATCCAGCCAAAGACAGGAGTCGTGGCCTACCCGCCTCTCTTACATACTGATGTCATCTCTGAGCTTCCTTTTAGTCAGGGAAGTTTGAGGTCTCCCTCTTCTTACTGGTAGTAGCCTGGGAGTGCATTTGCTGCTGTGCTTATCATGTATAACTTAATGCACCAGTTATCTGGCTGTACCTTCAGAACAGCCTCTGGCAAAATAAAATGAAGTCTAGACTGTGTTATTCCCACTGCAAGTAGAATGATCATGTATGGGAAGTCACATCTTGCAGATGAATCAGGGCTTTTAAGTCGATGTTATTACCTACCTGTTACACTTAAACCAGTCCTGGCTAAGTCACTAACTCCCATTGTGTCTGTCACTCGCCAGAATGAGCTAGACAAGTCTTCCACTCAGATATCTGCAGATAATGCCCTCTGCTACAGAGTACCCTGGTTTTGCAATCCCACTAGTGAGTAACAGCAAAAAAAGGCATCTTCAGCACTCCTGGTTATGTTTGAAGCTGGCCTCCTCTCACCAGTGGGAATGTTTCATTCTACAGCTATAGACATTACTTTGATTTCTAGGAGTTGAAGGAGTTTGGAATAACTAAAAACCTTCTGGTCCATTTGTCTGCAGTAGTAGTTTTTTCTAGTGAATTTCTCCTGGTGTGGTTTTAATCCTTCCTCTTCCAAGCTGATAGCTTATAACTCCTAGAGTGTGTAGTAACTTCCTAGTAAAAAGATTGTAGTTGATTGGAATGTCCTTGTGGCTTCTGATTTTCTTTTTTTCCCTTACCATAAAATTAGCAGTGTCAGGGTTTGCTTCCTGGTTCCTGTGTTTCTCCAAGTGTACCTGGGGAAATGGTCATCAGTGACATATTTGGTAGGGTGAAGTAACTTCTGTCCACATTGGACCCGATGTCAGCTGAAAGTGGGGAGAGCCATCTGGTATTGTCTCAGCATGAGATGGATCAGTAAAGCTAGTCACGTTCTGAGTGGTCTCTTTCTTCCCTCCCCCTGTCTTATTCAGGATCTCATAGAGAAGGTGATGGTGCTGAGCAGGTCCATTGAGATGCTCCGAGGCACAGCAGGACCAGCACCAGGCCCTGTCTTGGCAGAACGAATCACCCAATATGCCAATCTCCTGGCATCACAAGGATGCTTGGCAGCTGCAATGAATTACCTACCCAGCACTTCTAAAGAGGTGAGTGAGAAGCAGGTTGTTGTAGAAAAGAGTACTATATGGGGAAAAATGGTATTTTGTATGAGAGAGAGCTTGGGTTTTGGCATATATCAGGAGTTAAGGTTTCACCTTCATTATGGTAACTTGAGAATAGAGGTGTGTGAGGGGATTCCAGAATATGGCTTTTGTCTTCATTTGCTTTGTCTTTGTAGTGCCTTTTATTCAGGGAAAAGGAAAGGAGCTATAGAACTGTAAAACGGCTGATGGAGAACAACACTGGGAAGCAGCTGTCTGGAGAAGCTGCCTTTGTTCCTGAAACTAGATGGTAGAGGAAGGGGAGGTCACCTTGCAGTTTGAAACAAATCTCTCTAGTGCCCAAATATGGGGAGAGATTGGGGAGGGAATACTCCATAAAGACTGGGGGTTCAGTGAGACTTCATCTGCCTGGGAATATGGCAGGTGATGTCTCAGACTGTCATTTGCTATTTGTTGTGGGTTTTTTCCTGGTGGCTGTTGGGGAAATGATTAGTTTTGGAGGTTGATTCACAGTGCTTTAGGTCAGAGTCTGCTTTAAATGCCTCCCCAGCATATTCCATCTGGGGCTCTCAAAGCACTTCTTCTAAAGCACAGTTTGTTTCAGCTCCTGATTGAACAGCTCCGAGACCGGCTTTTTCATGCTCAAGGGGAGAATGTGGGTGATCAGCAGCCACCCCCTTTTCCCTACACTCGTGTCAATGTAGGGGTCATTAAACACTCATCTCCAGCAGCCAAGGGTGGTTCTGCCCTTGAAGGAGCAGCCCACAAAACAGGTCCCAGACATCCAGAGAAGGTAGGCCTTAAGCTCAGGTGTTTATAGCCTGGGGAGGGGGAGGAAGGCTACTGGGTTGTGGAAGGCGTATGAAATAATATGAGATGACACAGATTGCAGACACTGAGAAACTCATCAGTGATGTCCTTCACTGGAACAAACACAACCTCTGTGATAATCCAAAAGTAAGCTGTTTGTCATCTTTTCAGAAAGCCCTGTCCTACATGCAGTCCCTGGAAAAGGCTGTTAAAAGTGTAGTGATCCACTGAGATCTCAAATCTGAGGGTAAAGGGGCTGTGGTTCACTCTCCTGTGTCCATCTTACCCTCATATCTTAGTAAAATTAGTGTAGTAGGGCTTCATCTCAGTTCCTGCACAGGAAGACTGTTCAGGAAGTTTTGCTTCTGGCCTCTTTTACTTCATTATTGTTCCTTCATTATTTCCTCTAGTTGCATTTCCAGGAGGTCACTCTATGGAAACTGGCTCCTGAGGACTAATCCTTTTGAGAGCCAGAGAATACTCTGAAGAGTGGGATGCTCATCTTGTTGAGCAAGTTATATGGTGGGAAAGGCCTTTGATCCTGTTCATCCAGGGCACTGGCAGCAGCAGCACCTTCTCTTGCCTAAGAAGTGACAGGGATAAAAGTGCATCTGCTTGTCTGTGTATGCACATGCCTCTGTTGGCCATTTGCAAGTTCTTTGTTTTTTAATTGCAGCCCAACTATCAGTCATCATTTGCCCCTTCAGCACCATCTCAGCCTTCAGTGCTTTCCCTCTTCACGCCTCAGCCGGTGCCAGCCATGTCTGTGACACCTCACCACATTGCCACTCCCCAGGCCAGCACGGGTCCACAAACAAGTGTTTATTCCAGAGGGCACCCATACCCACAATACAACTTGGGCTTGAATCCAGCAACTGTCTCAGGGCCAGGTAAGCACTGTCTGATAGTTGTGTCCATTTCCCAAGTTTTCTGAGACTAAAGTCTTCAACATGGATGGCTGCTCTACTTTCTTCCTCACAGGCCTATTGTACTGGCAAAGAGCAAGTCAGCTGTCTGAGAGGCTTTTCAGTGCTTCTGACACATCAAGTTCTAGTAATTGTTGCTACACATCCACTAATACTAAGCATATGTAGGGGTGGAGAAGCCACAGTTAACTTAGTGGCAGTTTGACTGTTTTAGCCAGGGTTGTGGCAAGATATGCCTGGCATGGATATTCTAGGGTATGGCTTGAAGAAGGGAAGACTTACTAGTATGAAAGAAACCATCAAGAGTAGTTTGCACATGAAACAAGTGATGCTGATACACTCTCTTTCTTGTCTCTAGCTGTGTCACAGTCTCAGCCATTTGGACCAGTGGGAGTCAGACCTGCTGGTCCTGCTCCCTTCCCCAGCCAGCCTCCTCTGCCAGGACAGTCCATGCCCATGACATCTCCTGGTGTTCCACCACCCAGGCCTGCCCTCTTCACTCCAGCCTCAGTCCCATCATCTCAGCTTCCTGCAGCTTGTCCTCTCCCTGTGGCAAGTCAATCTCCTCTAGATTTCTCTTCAGCACCTTTCAACAGCCCCCTGAACATGGGTTACCCTCAGGGAGGTCCTGGAGCTCCATCTACTAAACCCCTGCCGGCAGCCATTCCTCCTCCTCCCACAGGTAAGTATGGCTTGTGTGACTGGTGTGTCCAGGACAAGCCCAGATGGGGTTTACAGTACAGAATGGACATGGATCTTCTGAGATCTGGTCTGTCACCATAAAGGCTGGATACGGTGCTGAGGCAAACCTTACAGGCACATGGTCTTGAGTCTTGCTGTGGTGGTGAAACACAACAATAATGTCAGTCTCATTCAGCTGTTCAGCTGTTGTGTCTCCCACGTTGTGTTTGCAAGATGGCTCTTCAGATCCTTGGTGCACCCTGAGTAGTCATCCACTCCAGAGGCATTTGCTCTGACAGAAAGGGTGATGGTTCCCATGGAATGCCTGGTGGAAGGCTTGGCTGATCTCAGCCTTTCTTATGCAACTTACACAAGAAGTGCATTTGAAATGCTGGGAGAGCAGCTTGTCTGTCCATGAGATATGCCTTGCTTAGCTTCAGGATTATATTCCTCTGTCTGCTGTGCTCTAGTTCTTCCATTCTTTTCCTGTTGTCATAAAGTGCTTGTCTGGGAATCACTTCTGGATTCCTCTGTGCAGTGCTTTAGACCGCTCTGCACCTATAGTTTGAATCCAGCCCAGCATGCAAGTGCTGTGAAGTCTTTGCTAGCATTATGAAGAAAAGATGTGTTGTTGGACCTAGCTCCCAGTGGATGGGCCTTGCTTCTATTTCCCACAGTATCACCACATCTGGTGTTTATTAATTCTTTCCTCTCTCAGGGAACAGGTTTAGCCAGGCTGTGGAGATCCCTAACAACAACACTGACAATCCACAAATTTTTGAGCAGATGTTTCTCCAAGCCACACATATTCTGACAGTGAAGGAACTGAGACTGAGGTTTGCCTCCACCTGGAATCCTTTGCTGAACTGTGTTTAACCAAGGATAGCAAATCCCACTGTGTGAAGCCTGTGGGGACTACATTTTTAAGACAGAGCTACAGCTGGACAAATTCCTTCCTGAAAAGCTGTTTAGGACAATAGTCCAGAGACATTACTCACTGAGTAAAAGCTGTTGGTGATGATGATTTTTCCACCCTGCCTTGATTTTCAGGTTTCTTCCCTTGGCTAGATCCCCACATGGATCATGCAGGTAGTACCCAGAGAAGCCTCCAGACCTGTGGGGGAGGCAATGTTGCTGCTTCCAGTGAAATGTGGGGGGTGTGTGCACTTTTTGATGTGTGTGCATGTGTGCATGCTCATTGCTATTTGCTGTTTCCTTGCATGCCTGGGGACCTCTACAGCTGGAGTAGGGAATATACCTGTTCTGAGGACTAGTAAGTGACAGCTGAGGATGCTGGAAGTGAAATGAGAGCTCTGTGCTCTTAATCATGAGTTTGAGTACAGAAAACAGGGTCTCCATCTTCTTCCTTCTTTACTTTCCTCCAGTTCTGGAGGAATTAGGCCATTCTCAGTCTCTCTCTTTTCAGGTAATTCCTAGGCCAGCAGGATGGAGAAGCAACCAGTTTTCCTTTCTTGATTCTCTAGGCAAGGAGCAGGCCAGTGGTTGTAACTCATCTCTCATTTTCTCCCTATTACGCTCTCAGCCTGGTGCATGGCTTTACTTGCACTTGTGCTTTCCCCTTGTGGTTTGGAGGAGGTGAGTGCCAGCAGGAGCAGTGGTGGAATAGAGCTTCTCAAGCAGAATTTGGGGGCTCTGTTCCAAGGGGAGCTGGAAAGCTTTTGGCTTTAGTTAAAGGAGGAGGTTTGGCTTTGAATCTTAGTTCATCTGTTGGGGAGAATTTGGACTGCAGTGGTTTTCTGACTGATACTTTGTCCTTATTTCTCTCCTTGGTATTCATTGATGTTGAGAGTAGTTATCTTCTAGTCTACATTGTCAGTGGGGTGTAAGGCTCAACATCTTAGTGGCCTGTCACTGCATAGTGACTGCTGCTCATTGCAGAGACCATCTGCCAGGCACAAAACTCTCAGCTTTACTTACGAAATCCAAGTACTTGATAGGCACTAACACCACCAACCAAATCTGTCTGTGTGGAGTGAAACTCTGGAAAGGGAGTTGTCTGTTCAGCAGAGAAACAAAATATCCCAATTTTTCCTTGTTAAAGGAAAGATGATTCTATGGCAAAGATTTCAAGCACTTCCTCAAGCTGAAGGTACCCTTTGGGAATTCACTGCTGTGAAATTCCCTTCTCCTTGGCAGTACTTGCTCCCAGTTTTAATGGCAATGTATGGCATACCCGGTTTAGCAGTGCAAATTGGCTTCCTTGACAGTGCTTTCTTGCTTGCTGTTCTTGTTCTGGTTTTGACTGGTACTTTTCTTAATCTGAAAAGGGACTGTAAAATCACTCAATCTGACTGGCCAAAATTTCTCACTTCGGAAATTCCTCTCTGTGATCTCTGTGAATATTATCACTAGTGCAGTGAAGAGAGATCTCCACTTACAGAAATCCCATGCTCCTGGGGAGTGCCAGGGACAGGGTGAAGGACAGCAATATGTTGGCTCATCTCCTTTCTGGCCAGGATAATCCCCGACTCCAGCTTGTAATGATCTTGTTTTTTCTAGGACAGACATTGCTGGAAATTGCTGCCATGGGGCATGTCTTTCAGGGATGGTGAGAAATCCTATTTCACAAGTAGCATAGGCAAGATAGCATTTCACTGCAGCAAAATGTCCTGTTGTCTCACGGCTGATGATTAAGTGCCTGGCTTACAAACTATAATTTGAATAGCTGTTTCCTGTGAGGATACAGAGTGCCACTGGGTTGGAATAGTGCCAAGGACTGCTAGGCCACAGGCTCAGTGGGGGCCAGCAGAGTTCTAGGGCACAGAATCCCCAAAATAAAAAGAAGTGCCAACTTAATTAAACTACTGATCCAAACTCATCAGAGACCAAGTCTTGAAATCATGGGAAAAGGGAGGGCAAAAAGAGGCTGCCAGAATTTTAATAATAAAGGTAATTAAAGTAATGAAGCACCTTTTGCATCTTTCCCCTGTGATTTTTAAAGCTCAGTTCAGGATCAGTGGCTCATTAAGTGTGGCACTGAGCTCCAGCAATTCTGATATTGTCCCTTAGAATTATTCTATTTTCTCACAAATTATTCCTATCTCATGGGCTTGAGGTTAATAATACTAAAGATGTAGATACCTTTACAGGACAGCAGCAGACAAGGTAGTTGCAATTTGACCTTTGCAGAATGAAGTGTGGAAGTCTTTTCATGTCATGTTGTCTGATGGATTTTTAATTACCTGAAGTGTGGTTAGAGGCAAGGTACCACAGAAGAATCTTCTGAGACACCCCTCTGCTCCCAAGGCATTTACTGGTTAAGTCTATTCCCTTCTAGTTGGGGAGTCAGCAAATTTTGCTAAGCTTTGGTTCTGATCAGGATTTTGGAAGGGCAAAATTTAAACCCATCCCAAATCTTTCCCCCTTTATCAGAGCAGCCTGCCTTACTGTGGGCTGCCACTGTGAGGCATTCCTGTGAGTCCTGGTGAGAAGCCCTGTCACCTGTAGCATGGCTCTCACTGTGGTACCACACTGTCTGATTCTCTGGGGAACCCCAGGAACCCCCTGAACACACATGCAGGTCCTGACCAAGGTTCAGGCCTGACTCTGAGTCTGACTTCTGCAGCCTGTGCAGAATCTGGAAGGCTTCATGTAGTTGCAAAAAAGTTTCCTGTGTGTGACTGGGTGTGTGCCAGTTCAGTCTGGTCAGACATCACCTCATGAAGGCTGTGCATGTTCTCAGATGATAAGAATGCAGTTAAGAAAGAGAAAGGGAAGCAAGAACAGTTCATGGGCCTGTGAGCTGGGTCTGAAATTCCTTGACTGAAACAGTCTAAAGGTGTAATAATGGAGGAATTGGAACCAAGGACCCTTTTCCTGAAGGAAGTTCTAAACCATGCAAGCGACCATGAATTGTGCTCTGGCCACCTTCTTAAAGTCTGACCTTTGTGTCTTGTTCTCTGTTCTGGCAGCTCAGGAATCTTGGAGTGATCACTCTACTGGAAGAGGAGGCCTTCAAAAGAAAAAGGTAAGCTTTCAGCTACAATATGTGTTGGTTCTCTTTTAGCCAGGGAGCTCCATGTAACAGATACATTCCTATAAATGCTCCTTGACAAACTCAGCAGGTCTCTATATGTGTTGGTCTGCCTACTTCTGCACTTCATGCATAGCTAGGACTGGAGTTTTAAGTCATCTTGACTCTTTGCCATCCGAAGTCACATGCTGTTCTCCAGGGTGGCTGTTTTGTAACATGGTTATCAGCTCTGATGTTGCATCTTCTGTCAGTACTTTCCGTGCTGTCTACAGTTGTTTGTTATTAGAAATACAGATTTAATCTTATGCCCTTGCCTACTCAACTGTTCTGATAGCGGCTGAGGTCATGCTCCCTTCACACCTGACAGCTGGGGGCAGCATTTCCCCTCAGCACAGTGAGACCCACAGTGATTTTCCTCAGATGGTGTTACCAACTGATAAGGCACTTCTGCTGAATGAAGCTGAGACAGCTGTAGCTGAGAGCTGCCTGCTGTGTTGGTCCTGTGGCTCTCTGCCTTGTCGTGATTGCCCTGGAGGACCTGTGAGCTGAGCTCTTTTGCAACAAATGCTCTCAGTACCCCATTTCCATCACTGCTGCCTGTTGGCAGGTGTGGCGAGAAGCTTCTTTGGCACCATTCCCAGCCCCCACTCCTCTTCTTTAGCTTGGAACAGACTTCTCGCCCTTTTTTCTGGCAGCATAGCTGGGAACCTGCTTCAGGCTGTGCTCACTACAACAGGATTAGCCTCTTGTTAAAGCCATCTCCTTTTGATCTAGCCCTGTTGGAGTGAATCTGTCATGACTCTCAGGCTTAGCAGGGGCAGGATGAAGTGTTTGCAAGAGGAATCTCCCCCCATGCCGTGGGATTTTCCCCAACACTTGCTCAGTTGGACACTTTACTGCTGCTAATCTCTACATTCAGGACTCGTGCCGTTGCAGAGCCAAGGCAGCTTTCTGAGGACCAGTGCTTTCAGGGGTAACGGATCTGTTTGATTGAACAATTCCAGAGGAGTTTTCTTCTTGTCGCTTTGACTGTTCATCTCAGATGCAAGAGGAAGAGCCCCATTCTCTAAGTCAGGGGGCTGAAAGAACAGGGATGTGTTACACATCATCTTGAGAACTGGACACTGTTCAAGTTAGAAAGGAAGTTGAGTTTGACTGTGGAGAGTGTAACCAACCTTTCTTCATTGGACTTGGTTTTCTTGATTTTTTTTTTTTTCCCTTTCTTCTTGCTGACAGTTGCCTGAGAAATTTACTC